CGCCTTCCGAAGGAGTCCCGTACGTTCGGGCGTTCGGGTTCGGGCGTTCGGCCCGTCCCGAACGCCAGCAGCCCTGTATATATATATATAAGTCTGTAGAGTTTTCCATCTGGTGTGGATGAGTGATAGTCTGCAGTCTGCTTTGATTTTCGTCACAGGTACCTTGAGGGCAGTGGTTGGTGCCCACCTCAGGGTATCAGTTGTCGGGCAGTCGTTGATGCTTAACCACAGTCGGGGTTAAGGTGGATTATCACTTACAGTGTAATCAGTTAGGGGATTCTGCAGACTGTTGAGAGTTCAACCTCTTGATGAGTCGGTGAAACTCCAATGAAACAGTTTGTCACAACCCCTCATTTGTTGTCCTCTTCTCCCTCTCTGCCTAAAGTTTACCGGGCAGCTCTGTTTCACTATATATACACTCTATTTGACGATGTTGTTCCCCCGCGTGCTCGCCCTCGTCCAACAATTCACACCATTCATGAACGACCTCCTCACAAGCCCTTGGCTAGCACAACGACTACTTCGTCGTATCTCAACACTGCTTTGCAAGGAGTGATCTCTACTCTTCGCGAGCAAGACACTGAGCTCTATCAGCAGGTTGGTGTTCGACGGTGCTGGATCGTTCAGAGTGTCGATGAAGTGGCGATTGACCTGAAAAACAATGCATCGTCTCTTCGTGGCCTCTCTCCTCACATTGTTGATTTTACCACAATGTACACCAACCTTCCTCATGACCGCATTTTGAATAATGTGGAAAAAACTGTTGATGAAGTTCATGTTTATGCCCTTCGGCAAGCTCGCATGCATTCACGCTGCGTTGCCCTCAACATGGTTATTCGAGGACCTCGTTGTGGCCAATGGGCAACTGATTCAGGCCCGGATACCCTCTCTGTTTCTCAGATTCTCCAACATCTTTGCTTTGTTGTACAAAACATTTTTCTATACAGGAGAGATGACACGCTTCGAAAACAAATTATCGGTATTCCAATGGGAACAAGTGCTGGCCCATAAATTTCTAATCTGACGCTGTATTGGGATGAAGCACGCTTTGTTGATGACATTCGTCAACATGATCTTTAAGCTGATCAACAATATGCCTTCACCTACCGTTGATGATTTTTTTTAATGGGGACAATTACCTCCTCCACCAGAGCACTATGGGCTTGAGTGGAAGGAAACTACAACTGCAGATGGCTCCTGTACCTTTTTACGTATGCATCTATGGGTCCGTTCCGATGACTCGCTTCACATGAGCGTCTTTGATAAAGCGGGCGTGGGCATTCCCCACCAACCCTTGCTAAGGGGTGGACCTGCTACATGCACTCCCGCCAACGTCGCTATCCTACGCATGTGACGCGTCTCTCTCAGTGGCTCCGACGCATGCTGCGATGGTCCTTGTATCATCCAATTTCTATTTCGGCCCCACGATGCTCTCGTCCTGCCCTTGCTTGCTCATCTGCTGCTACCGCAGTTTCCACTGCTACAGTCTCCACTCCTGCAGTTTCCACTGCTGCAGTTTTCATTGCTGCAGTGTCCGCTGTTGCGGTTTCCACTGCTGCAGTTTCCACTACTCCAGTTTCCATTGCCGCAGTGTCCACTGTTACGTTTTTCACTGTTGCAGTTTCCATTGCTCCAGTTTCCGTTGTTGCAGTTTCTACTGCTGTGGTTTCCACTGCTGCAGTTTTCAGTACAACAGTTTCCCTAACTGTAATTCCCCATACTTTAGTTTTTACGGCTACAACTTCCTGTCTTGCAGCTCCAATGCAAAGAACATCACAATCTCTCCAACGCTCACGTCCTTTGCTTCAAAATCTTGCCCAATGCACCCCCCTGTCATCTTTGTCTGTGCTTGGCCGTAGACAACTGCGTTCCTCCTCACCACCCCCATCTCCTCCACGGTCTCGCTTGCGAACAGACTCTCCAGTTTCCATTGTTCCCATTGTTCCACATGCGTTGCTAGGTACAAGTTCAGCTTCTGTTTGCAACACCACTACTACTATTGTTGTGTATCACCGACGACATCCGCGACATCGTCACTTGTCCGGGGATCAGCAACCTGTTTATTTGTCTGCCCCGATTCTCTCTGTGCCTCCTCCACAGGTTGTTGCGGTTCCTTTGTTTCAAACGACAATATCCGCTCCTATGCCTCCTGCAGACAGTCCAGCTGCCTGCAGGCAGCCACCAGTCCCTACTCAGGATGCAGCCGCTGCCAAGTGTACACTCCCGACTCTAGGTACAACCCCTACTCAGGATGCAGCCCTAAACGTTGAGGGAACATGATCTGCCCAGATTGCAGTTGACCCCACAACGGGTAGACCACATGGGGGATCTGCAAATGGCTGATCAGCATTGTTCGGATGAACCACAATTTTGTGCTCCGCCACACGCAGACCACATGGCTGATGTGCAAATGACCGACACAGTTTGGGCTTGCAACACCATCTGGGTGATCTGCAAATTGTTGCCCAGCATCGAACAAACCAGCCTGAGAACCTCACCAATCTCTGTGGTCTGACAGCAACTAATATTTGTCTTCACATTCTCCATCGCCCGTTTTATACACCATCAGACTTCCTTGCAATCGCCCTTCAGCTTGATGCTGATCTTCCCCAACGACAGCCAGAGGATTGTAATTATACCAGCGAAGGAGGCTTTACCATTGCTGTCCTACAAGTGGCAATGAGGGACCGTCAACTTGAACTACGCAATGCTCGAGCAGGTGAGTGGTTTAATCCTCCATCCCATATCTCTGATTGCATTGTGCACGGCCCTGGCCATTACATGGGCATTGTACATGCCTCTGACCATTGGGAGCTGTGGGACAACGGCACCATGGTCCATGCCATGATTGATGTCACTGATTTCTTACAAAATGATGCTGTTTTCTTGCCACAGCAAACCGTCCGCAATCTCTTTTATGCCGAAGATCATTCCTCTGGCCCCGTGCTGCAGCAAGACAATGTACCAACACTCTGCGACCTTTTCCTTTGCACAACCACAAACATTGTTACACTCGGTTGTAGCCGCCATCGTCTCTGTCACAATCACTACAATGACATGGTTTCTGCATCCATGTGTGCAGAGGACTGTCCCACCGTTCCTGACTGCAGGCACCCTCCGCATCCGGACACTATATGTCCAT